GTTTATTTGGCTCAACATATAAAACATCTGAGTAATCGGATACTATATTTTATGAATTCATGGACTGAAAGATTGTCTTTTAAAAGTCTAGAATGTCAAATAAAGTATACTTTGTTGGCAATTTTAAAAATCATTTGGTACATTGAAAGATTCTGACTCAATTTGCACAACTGCATTACTTGGCTTGTTTTAAGCTGCAACCTGTGCAGCTGCATGCAAGGTGACATTTCCCTAATTACCCACTTGGGTACAACTTGTCATGTAGCCCAACCCTGGACAGCATGGTTTGTTCCACTGGGAAACAACTCTCCAATAACCCAGTAGCCCCAGGTTATTTGAAGGTTCTTCACCTCCAAACAAGACTGCACCTGCTCAAGCAAGGCGTTATAGTTATTTTAAGTTACAATCATACAAGCTATGCCCCTAAAAGCAATGATACACATAAAGCATCTTCAGGTCTGGCCCAAAGCAGATGCAACACTGCTCTTAGACACTGACAGCAGGTCACAAGTTCATTTGCTTTTGGCCTCACATCTCTGGCTCACATTCCTACCTCCCTTCCCTAATCATGCTATAAGCATCACATCTTCACTTACACTACTCATAAGTAGTGATAATCAGGGTTTCATTGTAACCACGGTTAGCAATGAAACAGATGTAACACTGACAAGGGAAGGAGAGAATCATGCCATAAATGGTTAAGGGGAGGTATAGAATTCAAATAAATTAAAAAAAAAAATAAAATAAAATAAAGGGGAGAGAGGGGAAGGGAAAATGCAAGCTCTCCATACACTCTTGGTGTATGTTACATCCAACTGTAACCTGATTTGCACATAACTCGGGGTTTGTTTTCTTCTGTGAACCCATAAGCATCCCAGTGCACACTGCAGAAGACAGAATGAATAGGGTTCTACATCCCTGGGTTATTTGTCATGAGATATGAATTGGGAACTCTGGCTTGTCTGGATTTCTGGGTTACTTTTGTAACATGTACTAACAAAGCAGACTTCCTAGCCCATGCCTCATGAAAAACAATGCATGGACAAAGTATCCTTGGGTTCTTTAGTCACTCCCAACAGAAGCAGTGTATACCCAGCACACTCACTCATTCACAAAAATCCAGGGTTTAGGAAGGAACATGGAATGCTGAAAATCCAAACATATTCTACATGGCAGATGTACCAGGAATCAAAATATTTTGCCTGAAATTGAAATTACTCATTAAGTATGAAGTGGATAAAATAAAATTTGATATTTACTGGGACAGAATAAAAAGGGGATCAAAGAAATGACAACAATGTTATCAACTGAATGTCTTTTACTATTCAGTTAAACAATTATCTTACATTATGATAAATTCTCCCCACTAGTTTACCTCAAGTCTGCCTATGGCCTATAAATGAAATCCTGGATTCAGAAAGCACAACTTGCTGCAATAAAAAGTAGTTCCTTCACCACATATATTTCATAAATTTGCAAAAGTTAACTGAGAATTAGATTATATTAATAGCTCTTTGAACTCCAAGATGAAAAATAAAGTTAAATGATTGCACTTTTTAAATTTCTTAACATGACCTGAAGAATGTTCTTTGACTAAGTGCACATTACTACTTTTCCTGATAATAAGCAAGTTGTGGAGAAATCTATGGCTCCTAGATAGCATCAGGCGGCCAAATGTCAGTTCAGATTTCCAGATTCAAGGTCAGAGACACTGCTCCATCCTCAAAGCTTACAATCAGAGGTCCTACTCTCTCACCCTTGCAGCCAGCATGGAAAGAACACTACCAGCTTCTCTCCAAGGTCAGGAAAGTAACCTCAGAGGCGGAGAAGGGGCCACTGCAGGAGTAAGAAGTGAGCCGAATGGAGGTGCTAGAATGCCTCTCCTTCCTCCTCCCTCCTTCCGAGATGTTCCAGCTGGGCAGGCAAAAGAGCACATCTAGTGAAAATCCAAGGTAGAAGGACAGGGAAGAGATCACTCCGGCTGTTCCTCCAACTCTGCCTTGATCCCCACACTTGGGAGACCATAAGCCTCCAAGTTCAGGATTTTATGGCCTCTGCAACAGGATTGGGCCCTTAAATAAACTAGGCAACCTCACAGCAACTGACCTCTCCATTAGGATGGGAATATAAGCATCAATCCAAATATATCTCTTGATATCACTGAACTGCAGTACAAGAATCTTTAACAACATAGCAACTGAATAAATAATCAGCATAGTGCCAGTGCAGATATGAGATGATGGTAACTGTGTATTTGCATTTAATGTGCAGGATTGTTTGTTTGTCTTTCCAAAATGCAAATAACAACAACTGGCAGGAGGATAATTATCATGATTGCTGCAGGCATGGAAGAATAAGGAAAAAAAGTTAAATTCCCTCCCTCCATGCCTGCCACAATTTTGGTAATCAAACACCTCCCATCAATCCCACTCCCAGCTGATATTAATTGCATTTTTTAAAACCTGCCTATTAAATGCAGACATATTTTGAAAACACATTTAGTTTGGTCCACAGTTCTGACAATATCTTGTTTGGAGCAGATATGGCCTAAACCGGAGACTGGCACTATCAGAACAGACAGTATTGACTATCCATGGTTAAAGAATATACATAAGAATTGACTAAATAATAGCTCAAACATATTGTATACATATAATACACAGATTGTATAGACATTTAAATGACTGTAGAACATTATATATGCAGAAAAGTAACAAATATGACTTGTAAAATTTTACTTCATAACAGAAGACAGACTGCAGCATGATTCAAGGGATGTTTAATTAGAACCAAGACTTGCCAATTTCAGTGGGACTTACTCCCAAATAGGTACACTTAGCAGCTGCCTTATGAGGAGTCAGGCAACCATTCATCTGTCTAGCACAATATTATCAACGCTGACTATGTTTCCTGGATTTCAGGCAGAATTCCTTCCTAGTTCTACCTCGAGGTATCAGGGATTAAATCAGGGATGCTCTGCATGAAAGGCATGTGCTTTATCACACTAAGCCACAGCCCCTTATTGTAAGCAGCCTCAGACATCTATCTGAAATTCAGAATTTACTACATATTAACAGAAAATTGTAAGAAGATTTTTAACAAATGATTCTAAAAATCCTGTACATTATCATGGTGTCCAAAATGCATTCCACACCTTTCTCTTTAGTTCTTAAATATCTCAAATATCAGACATAACTAAGTAATTGAAATTAATAAAGCTTACCTGTGTGACATGTAACCAACTCATGAATATGTTTAAATATTGACTGGGTTCACACAACCAATCATAGATAACAAGACACGGGAAGATGGCACATTGTGTGAACCCAGACTGCTTCCCACAAGATGGTTTGTTCACGGGCAACAAGCCAGCCTGTCAACCCATATCCTATGAGTTGTTCCACCCATGACAGGTTGCTATGTTGACTGAACCTGGGTGATTGATCCCATTGTGGGCACAGGGAAATGACAAGCAAGCTGCTTGGCAACAGGGGCAAAAATGTCTTGCTACTCTTTGCTCTGAAAGGCTTGGTGACTACAATGGAATACCACTAAGTACCCAAGCAGCACTTTGATGTGAACATCAGATGACTCAGCCTACCCCACACCAACCACTACCCCTTTTGGGGCTTCCGTGGCTTGTTTTCCCTTTTACCCCTCCTCCCCAGAGAATTGTTTTTTGCAATTTTTGAAGTGATAACCACTTATAGTCCCTTCAAAGTGCCCAACTGGCACACTGGAGCAGCTGCATTTATCATCATCATCATCATCATTTTGCACCTGAGATTTACACTACTTTGTCATTTCTTTTTTTCAGTCCATAAGCTGCAAGGAGATACTTGCGGGAGCAAGGGAGTGGTGTGTTTATTACCCCTTCCTAGGGAGATCCTCTGTATTTTTGTTTGGTTGGGCACTATTTTAAGCATACTTCATCTTTCCTGATACTTCAGATGCTTGGCAAAGTGGAAAAAGTGAATCATACCATTCACAAGAACATGGAATTAGCAGTTGTCAAAACTCAGGCCTCTTTTTAAAATGGGGTTTTGATGGGACTAATCAAAGGGGCTTTTGACCAAAAATACATGCAAGAGATGCCTGATGCACACTTGGAACCCCAATGAAACTCTAAAGTCAAAGACAGTTCTAGGAAGCCGTAAATATCACATAACACATGGCAAAATTAGCAAAAGGCAACCCTGGTTAGCACTATTGTCTGTTACAAAAAGTATATGACTCTTTTTGCATACCATAAATCAACCTCACACTTATCTGGCCTCGTCGTAAAACACACATGGTTCATTTCCTAACTCTCTGGTTCCTTTTGACTAACACTGGCAATTTTCATACATTATGCCAAACTAAACCATACTTTAGTGTGTCATGATCCAACAGAAACCAATTGTTTGGGAGCTTCTGCTTCCACATTTAATTCAGTGCAACTTGCTGTATCATTTAGACCTGGAAAAGTGATCAGTCTTGACTATGGTTAGCTTAAACAAGCCAGCTTTGTAAACCAGTTTGACGTCAGCTTTCTTTCCAACCAAACATAATGTACTGTTAATCAAAGTCTACCTGTCCAAATGATTCAAGAAACCAAACTACTCCTCTATGCTTTAGCATGAGGATGAACACTGTATTGGAACTAGGTTTTTTAAATTAATTAATTACAACAGCAAAGTGCATGCCTGACAAGTCATTATTCTGCATAAACTGACATCTTCACAAATTATTTATGAGTACCTACATCTTTGGCACTTTAGAACTTAATACTATGTGTGTTTATTTGATAGTTCTATTGTAATAAATAGTTCTATTATAGGTTAAAAAAGACTGAGCACAAATATGAATTCAGTTGATGGACTTCTATAGTTCCATTCAATATTACTTATCACTTTGATTACTTCAATAACAATAACAACAACATTTAAGTGTATGGAAGTTCACAATCAAAACAGAAATTAGGGGAAAGTGAAAAAATGAGATTATTCATGACGTTTTACCTTGATTGGTGCTGATGAAAACTTTACTTTTCTCTCTGGATCAGGATCTTCTTCCTCAGAGAGTCCAGGAAATTCCTCATAATCACTGTAGCAGTTGTATTCCTCATCTGGTAAAGTTTCTCCTCCATCAGGGTCCTGACTCAACTCAGTTTCTCTTTCATCATCAAAAGCTGCATTCTCTATCCCAAAAGAACTAGAACAAAATCCACTAAAATTGTCTCTCTGTTCTACTTGTCCTTCTTCATCTTCACTATCTCCTACTTGTACTACACGGTCCTGCTCTCTTGTTTGAGCTTCTTCCAGATCTGCTACCTCTTTCCCTTCCTTCTGACTGGACTCACTACACATACTAAGTTCCTCTGTTTCTTCAAGTGTAAGACCATTTCCTTCCCCTTCCCAACTTGGGAATCTGAGTGGTTTTTCCTTCTGGAAGACATTAACTTCTCCCACAATTCCACTGTCATTTCCTAAATTTCTATTCTGCACCATAATCAGTTCAGCTCTAACTACTTCTACCTGAGAGATTTTTATGGGGGCTCTATCAACTTTAGTGGGTACACTGCTTGCACCCTGCTGGTTCCTTTTAGAAGTTGCTTGATCTCTTTCAGATGCTTCCTCAGTGGTCTTACCCAGTTCATCTCTTTTATTAACACTACTGCCACTCAAAAGGTCAGGTGTTGCGGTAGGCTGATTTTGCTTCAAGCAGAGTTCTTCCGTAACCACTGGCAATTCCCAGCTGCAAGACACTGTCTGGACAGGGCTAAAAGAGTCTTCATTTTTCAAAGTGTCTTTGGACTCCTCACCATCACTATCAGCCAAGAAATTCTCCAGTCTTCTAGAAATAGGTCCAGCATTCAGTAAGGAGGATCGATAGCTACCACTTGACTGCTGCAATTTGTGTTCATTACTTTCTTGACTATCTGCTTTGTCTGTGACAAGCTGACAGCTCAGATCAGTATTGAAATTTAAGGGATCTATTGCATTACTACAGTCAGAAGAGGCAGATCCATGTCTCCTCCTGTCTTCATTCCTGTCACCTTTGTTGGAAGTGCATCTGTCCAATGAACTTGGCTTTATGTTCCTTTCAAATAGTTTCCTAGTTTCAGAAAACTTCTCTGCCAGTGCAGCCTTGTCTAGATTTCCTTCATCATTGTTGCTAATAATTTTGTCAGTGAATGAAGCTGAAGGTAAAGAATCCTGAGAAGTGGTAAAGGGAACAGTGCCAATGTTGAGCAGGTTATTTTTCTGAACACAGAGGAAAGATGGGCTACTGGGAGAAGGAGGTGCAGGGTCAGTTGAAGCTGTTTTGGTGATGATTTTGGGCTCAGAGGGAAGGCTATTCTCACAACAAGGTGGTGTGGAAGAGCCACCCATCTGCATGAACATGTTTTTGATCTTGTGAACTCTGTTGCCATAGGTAACAGTTCTGCCACGAACATGTGGGTCATTACCTCCTCCGTTGGATGAGCTGGTCAGCTTTTGCTGAGGGCCAGATTTGTTTGAAGCATTATCAGGATTCACTGAATCAAAACTGCACTTAATAGCATGAAAATCAGCTTTATAGGCATTTCTGTGTGGAGAAGCACTTCGCAAAGTCCTCTCTCCTTTGCCTTCAGTCTTCATCATTGTCAAAAGGAGAGGGCCTTGACCCCTTTATAGATGCGCGTAGAGAGGATGAAAACCAATAGCTGCTGCCCCTGCTATCTTCCACAGTGCTTGGACAGAAGACTATTCCAGCAGACTGGAAAGTGAATGAGACTGAGAGACGCCTCTGACCGGTTTATTCTTCCATGCAGGCATTGAAGTGAGTTGTGGGAAGGGAAAGCAGAACACACAGAGAGAACAAGCACTCCAGGAATGTATCTGGAAAAACGGGATGCTAATGCCACGATGGATCCACTCCTATCCAGAAAGACATCGGAAAAGAAAAAAGACACATTAATGAGCCGGCAACCTCACCCATTTATGCAAGTATTTCAACTTTGTCTTAAACGGAATTCCATACCCCAAGGAGCAGTAAGATACTCATTTTGATGCTGCAGTATCAGCTACATGGGACGCAAAGCAAAAGATCAGACTACAGAAATTCAATATAATTTCTGGATCCCATGACTTCTGGATCTCAACAAGAGTCCAGTCTCTCCAGGACGTGTTTTCATCGCCAAGGTTCGGTTATGCCATGCAAAGTAGAAAGTGAGGGAGAGAGAGTAAACGAATGAAGGAAATGGGTGCAAGTTGTGCCTCTTCTTCCCTCACCACAGAATAACGATAACTGAGCTCTTCCTCATCTGCGATTACGCCGAGAGGCTTCCAGGGCAGAGGATGCGGCTTCCAAGCAGGCTTGAGCCTCGGCATTTTCCACCAGGAAAAAACACAACTGTTCTCACGGCTGCAAAGTTGCGGCTGCGCCGGTGTTTTTATCCTGGCTCGAAAACGAATCAGAAGGTCCAACAGAGGTCTTGGCCCATCTCGCTCCAAGCGTCTCTGTCCAAGTCTACCCCGCCACTTCCTTAAAGGCCCAACATCTACGGCTCTAATTCCTGAGGGAGGGAGGCAGGCAGGCGGAGTGGAAGGAGATACGTGGACTCGGCTACGTTTCCCCCGTCCTCTCACGAGGAATCTCGGCTTTATTTGCCTCCTGCCAAGCAGGCATGCAAACAATCTCGGCCCAAACTTGAGGCTTCCTTGGGGAGGGCAATAGGCGGGTCGTCTCCCCCCTCTCCGCCGCCGCTCCGGGCTGGGAGCGCGGAGGGGGAGAAGGGAGAGCCAGCTCCGTCGGCTCACAATGGAACCGCCGCGAACTCCCCGCGCCCGCCGCTCTCTTTCCCGACGGCGGCGCCCGCGCGCCTCGCCTGCCTCCCGCAGGAAAACTTTCCCAAGCAGCCCCTCCGAGCGACTTACCTGAGGTAGTTGAGCACGGCAGCGCTTCCCCTTCGCGTGTTTACCCGCAGCTCCTCACTCGCGCTTCCCCAGCCGGTGAGCGCACAACAGTTATCCCGCCCGCCCCCTCCTCTTCCTTCCACAGCAGCCCCCGGGCGCCTTTCCTTCGTTTTCCTTTTTCTTTTTCGGTCACTCCACCCCCTCACGAAATAATCGCCCGCCCGCTTTCCCAGCTCTACTATCACTCTCTGTCTCGCGCGCCCGCCCGCACGGCCAGTTTATAGATCAAGGATTTCTTTCTCCACTGTCTCTCCCCCCCCTCCCCCCGCCCTCCTCACTTCTTCCCAGGGCAGGCGCGGGCGCGCTCCCACACAAAGGGAACAGTCCGCGAGGCGCGAGCCCCGCTTCTTTCTCTAGCCCGCCAGGGAGACAAACGAAAGGGGCGGGGTGAGATCAGAGGTGAGGACCTGGAGGGGGAGGAGAGCGAGTAAGTAACTCTAAGTTCTAAAAGGAAACGCCTGCATCCGTTGGGATGTACCATACCAGGACAAGGGGTCTGGGCGATACCATTTGAGGGAGAGCCAGGAAACTGTGCCTGGTTATCGTCTATTGTTCCAGGTTTGCACCCCGCTGCTGGCGGCATCTGGAAGTCGCTTTCCGTCTGCGAGGCAGGGAGACCCTCGGGATTTATTTATCTCTCTATTTCCATTTCCTAGGCGCCTCGCAGCAACGCAGGGAGGGAGTGAGGAGAGAGGGCAGGAAAAGAAAGGAAAGGGGTGGGCATCTCGGTCCAGTCCCGACAGAAGCCCATGGGATGTTATTGTTTTGGTGTGGTCAAGGGCCCTGGATGCTTGTTTTCCTGAGACAAATAGTACATTTTACAAACGGAAATGGAGATCTTTGAACCCTAACACCAAGAAGCAGATAAATCTGCTTTCTGGATACGCCACTGGAACAGTGCTAATGCATTGAGGGCCCTATTAAAACTAATAATGTTATAATAGTAATAATAAAGTTTTCAGCATGCAAGAGTACGTATCTGCCATTGACAGGCTGGATCTAGGCCTCTAGGCTTGTTCATACTGATTTAAAAGTAATGGGACTACCAAATAAACCTGATCAGAGTGAGTTCTGTTCCTGCAATCTGATGGCAACTGTAAATAAAGCTCATTTAATGCAGTGGAAGTTACTTCTGAATACACATGCAAAGAAGGTTGTTAAATTGTCTGCTGCTGCAGCAGTATCACCAATACCTAGAAAACTAGTTTTACAAGGCATTTATTGATAAATCAGGAGTTGTTTCAGGTTCTTAGATAACTGGAAGTCAGAAGCCATTGCTGATCTGCTGCAACTCACTCAGAACTACCAGTAGAACTGGATCTTCCATGTGCTCCACCCTGCTCCATATCATGGATGCTCTAGCTGCTCAGAACCCCCTTTTTGCTGACACTGCTGTCAGAAGTAGGGCTTTTTAAAAAGGGTTTAGGAAGGGAAAAATAGTTTGGACAGTGAAGTATACAAATGAAATCGGTGTAATTCCCTGTCCAAACTATCCAATTTTGCCTTTCCTAAATCTCTTCTTTTAAAGAAAGCATTACTTTTGACAGTAAATGCCAAATGCAAGTGCCAGCAAAAAGTGGTAGGGGGAACACTTTACCACCATCCCAGGCACCTAAAATCTCAGGAGTTGATGGAAAAGTTGGGAACACTGGGTCCTATTGGGGAGAGGGCAGTCAAAACCCCGAGGATCTCAGTGCAAAGGAGGAAAAAAGGCACCTACCCTACTTTGCAAGCAAAAATACCTTGTGGCTTTGTTTTTCCTTCACAGCTTGCCTTTTGACAGCTGTGGAAAAAAGCAAACTAGAAAAATCTCTGTTTGGAGCCTCCCTGGGTCAGTGTCCAGGCACTTTGGCAACAGGTACTTCACAAGACAGGTGAGGTTTTCTCTTTCAGACCCACAGTAGTGCATATCATGACACTTGTGCAAGTTTGAACAGGAAAAAAAATCAAAATACACAAAATTGTGCAGATTTGAAATACATTTTTAATAAAGAGGTTTGCCAACCAGTAATTGTCCCAACATGCTGCTAGGGGCTGTCACCGGCAGGAGCATGGGCATGATTGCCAGGAGTGGCTATGGTTGTTTTTTGTTTGCTTGTTTTTGTTTGCCTCGCTCACGTCACTTGTCTTTACCTACAGTTGGATCATTTGCCCAGGTTCAGACAATGCAACAACCAGCCATGGGTAAAATCATCCCTCCAACAGCACATAGGTTCTCAGGTCGATGTGTTAATAAATAAATAAAAAGTCATTCTGCCAGAAGTGGTCTGGATTCAGACAACCCATCATGGCTTGTTACCCATGGTATGTTGTCATATTCTCTGAACTAGTCGCTGTCTTGCCACAGTTAGGGCTTTAGAGACCAAGATTCAAACTACTGAAGAAAGGAGAAGAAAGATGAGCAAATAACTATATAGACAAACGATGAAAGCTCAGTCTGATGGGCTGCCAGTTATTAAATACTAACCGAGGCTCATCTTATTTTTATCATACTGCCCCCTTTAAAAACCCTGTTTTGATAAACACTCCTGTTTCATTCTCATACTGATACAATCAGTAGTTAAGTAGTATACTTGTTATTGATGGAATAAATACATTGCTGAAAGGGAAATCACAAATAGAAAAACAAACAGGGAGTTAAAAGGAGTTCAGTTTAGGGTTAGGACTTTAAAGGGAAAAATAGTCTCTGTTCCAGCCATGTGAGAGGAGAGAAAGAGGGTTTGTGTCATCTGTCACCAGTGATGTTATCATCCCTATCAAATGAATGTCCTTTGCATTCACACAAACATCTTTTACAGCAGAGCTCCCTGTGTTGCTTGGAGTTAGTTTAGCTTTTCCCAGGTACTGCTTATAACACTACAAAATCCTGAAAAGTTGGTTTAACCAAGACCACGGCAGAACAAATGTCCCATGACATTGTAAGCCGCCCCGAGGCTTACAACATTTTTGTTGTAAGCCGCCCCGAGGCTTCGGCGAATGGGGCGGCATAAAAATGTTTTAATAAATAAATAATAAATAAATAAATGAGCAATAATAGTTCCACAACTTTGCCGTTGCCTTAGTCTCCAAAAGGTTATCAGCTATACATAGCTATGGACTGGGGTTGGTTGTCAACCAACTGGCAATGACTGTTGAAGTAGTTCAGCTACGGTAATAAACTGTTTGTAAAGACTTGGGTTGGGTGCAGAAACATGCCATCAGTATATTGGTGTCACTGTATAATCATTCCATCTCCAAGAAACCTTGCATGATACGTTGAACAAGGAAGAGTACTGAATTGCTGCAGAACTTTTGAACTGTGAATCCTTGCTTTCTAGCAATGAGCTGAGCCATGCAAGAATAGTTCCACAAATCTCTACAAGGTTTAGCATCAAAAGCTTCAACAAGGTCTATTACCGGGGTGGGGGACCTCTTGACCTTAGGGTCAAATTCATTTTTGGAACACATCCTGCAGGCCACATGCTAGTGGTGGATGAACCCAGAAGTAAAGCGGAAGAGCCAAATGCAAATGAGATGGGGTCAAAAATACCAAACATACTGGAATAATGTTGCTTAAAGTTCTTGCTGCCAGGAACTAACCCTTAGAGCCATTTCAGCCTTTTAGAATGGGGGAGAGGCAAAGGCACAAAAGCAAGGAAACCACCAAATCATCAGTGGTTTGGGAGAAAGGGCATGGGTTTTTGGGGAATCCCACAGGACCCAGTTCACACCCCCACTCCTAATCTTACACAATAAATAGATTGAAATAATCAATATTGACAGTTAAGCAGAGATTATCAAGCAAGACCAAAAGAACAGTCTTAACTGTTGCAGAAAATGAACCTGTTATCCAAGGCTGCATGAAACCAACAGACAACCACTTGTTCAACAGACTTCTCCAGACAGGCTAGAGGCTGACTGGAATTTTTTAAAGCAAGTTGTATTATTATTTCTAAAAAGGTTTTAGCAGAGCTGCACAGCAGCAGACTTGAGGTCATCTGGCATCCTGCCCTCCCCAAATGACATTTTTAACAGCTTTTTCAATTCTAGCCAGAATGGAAATGGATCCAACTTGCAAGTCATGGTGCCAAGCACATCATCCACATTGGCAGGTGAGACCTCCTAAAACTGATCCAAATAACTGGTGTAAGACAGAAGTCTGAAGCCTCAAGCTCTGACTGCGTTTACATTGGCAGTCCACTAGTGAGCTGTAACCAAGTGAACTTTGAAGCCCCAGATTGAATCCTGGAGTGTTCATCACCAGAGGTTGTATTCTCGGAAAGCTCAGCACCAAGAATCTAAAGTGTCATGAGATCAGCAGCAGCACTTAGCAGAGATTGCTAAGAAAATGCTCACAAGAAGGCACAAATTATGAAAAGACAAAATGCAAGTAATATAGACAGAAAAATACTTTAGAGTGCAATTTTATGCACGATAGACAGGAAAGGCCTTCAATACCTAGATGGGAATTGAATGACTTCTTTCTAGACAAGCATAGCTTTTCAGCCTTCATGCATTTATTCATTTGGTTATGTATTATATTTATACCCTACCCATCAGTCCAAAGGCTCCCTGGGCATCTTACAAATCAAAATCACAATAATTAATTGTGATTAAATAATATGTAAATGATTAATTTACTAACTAGCACAATAATCACTCCTTTAAGTTATGCAGCCATTAAATTGCATTAGGCATAACACAGTACTTTTCTATACTGCCTGCATACTAATCTACATGTGCAATTACTAAACCAAGGAAAATTTAATGTGATAGGATAAGGATTTTTAAAAATTGCTTTATCTTCCTTGGAGCTTTATCTTCCTTGGACCTTTTAAATTTGTGCAACCATCTAGTTCATATTGTGTTACAATCCTGTATATACTTAGCAGTGTGTTATTTTTTTGTTGTTGTTGTTGATTTTCAGAAAAAAAATAATTAGGATAATTTTCAGAAAAAGAACCCTATGAAAATTAGGGTAGCGTGCATAGGATTATTTGCACTGGAATTTTTTTTCCCTGTTACTTGCATTTAGTGAACAACTCTTTAAAGTATTCCATCTGATTTTCACTACAAATATTTAATCTGAAATATTTGAGGGGGGGATTAAAACACTCTTGTAG